ATTTTTATTTTTTAAATCTTAATTTTCTTTCATTGTTTCATTTTTTAGATTTAAAATCTAGGGTTAATTATTAGTTTTTAATTTGAAATCTTTTCTAATTTCATTCTTTGAAATAGAATGAATGAATGATTCTATATGTTATTTATATGATTTGGATGAATTGATTTGAATTTGTTATTTATGATAATTATATATTTATATTAAAAAAACTGAAAACCGAAAAAAAAAATTAAAAACTGATTAATTGATGAATTGATATGAATTTATGATTTATAAAAAAATTAAAACTGAAAAAGAAAAAAACAATTTAAAAAAGAAAAATTGACGAATTGATATTAATTTATGATATATTTATTTATTTATGATATATTTTATCATTTATTTTTTTCTTCTAATAATATTGCGTTAATTATAATTTAAATATAATTAGTTTACATATGTGAATTTTTTAGACCATTGAAAATAAGACTTTTAGAGCCTTTTTTCTGTTTCGGCCCAGGCTGATGAATTTTCAGGACCGGCCCTGGATTTGTTCAAAAAAAAATTCTTATTTTTGTCTACTTTTTATAGGTAATTATCAATATTATCCTTCAGCTTTTCTAGTTTTTACAGTATTAGTTTTCCAAATGTTTAAGTAGTGGCGTTTAAAAGTTTTACACTTTCTTCTGCTCCGAAATTGGCGTTCGAAGTCAACATGGCAATAACATCCCTCCATAATTTTTTGAAGAGGAGTGCTAGGGGTACACCATTTGGGGTACCCCATTTGTACACCACCCACTTCTCCACCACCTATTTTTATTTTATTTTTATTTATTTATTTTTTTTAATTTCTTGCCTTTTGTGTATGGACAAGGAAGGGGTGGGGGGACAAATGGGGTACACATTTGGTGTACCCCGCATTTTTCTTTTTTGAACCATTGTTTTTAGTAGGAAAATGCTAGGGGTACACCAAAAGTGTACCCCAAACATCCCCCACCCCCCATCACCACAAAAAAAGACAAGAAAAATTCAAAAAAATAAAAAATAAAAAATAAAAACAATATAAAATGAATAGTAGAAAGGGGAGTGGTGTACATTTGGGGTACACATTTGGTGTACCCCTAGCATATCCCTTTTTAGTATTATGAATAGTAACCTCTATTCGATATAGTCATTTACTCCTTCCGTCTCAAATTAAATTACATGTTTAGTATTTACAGTGTCAAATTTCATTCACTTTCTTTCTTTATTTTCGTTAGTCATTTTATAAAATATAATAGTCATGTCACTATTGGTTTTGTAGGTCTTTTGATATAGTTTTAAATATAAAATTTAATTTTTTTAATTTTACACCATTTTTCATATAAAATGATTTGAAAATAACTTCAATCAAGCATCCTAATCCGAAATAGGTGATTTAAATTGGAGTAGAGGGAATACAATTTAGTACAAATGTACGAGTATGTTCCTACAAACTATTGTCCAGAGAAAAATATTAAAATATGAATAAAACGTAAAAGAAGAATCAAAATGTAACTTTCATATTTTTATCCACAAAAAAGTCTTATAATGTCAATTATGCTAATATGTAATACCAATTTTTTTTGAAATACCGATATAGAAGGTCACATTGTCATTATTTTATAGTCTTATTTTGGAGATAAAAAAAATATGTCACTCTTATTTGTAGTAATTTCTTGTTTTGATATCTTTGATTCTTTGAATTCGAGAGATCATAAAATTTGAATTTTATATCTTCCACAACCGTCGATTATCCCATAATCGGCTACTAGTGTTATCACAAACACATTGGGCTAATAGCATGAGTGTCTCCCGTGATTTACAAAAAGGGCATCAAACCCTCCTCTATTTTCAAAGTCATTTGTAAAGTTCATATGATTTCAATAGAGCACAGATGCCCCCATTACCTATTTTTAAAGCAAAAATGATATTTATGCTCTTTCTTTTCCTCTATCTTGAATTTCCATTGTTTTATTTCCCTTTATCATACAAATATATAAAATAAAATTTACACTCCCCATCTCAAATTAAAAATTTTTAATTATGTATTTTTGAAAACAAAAGATTTTTTTTTAGAGAATGTTACCAAAGAAAATGAAAAATGAAAAATATTATGTACAAATAAAAGAGTGAAACTTGAAAATAGAGAAAAATAAAGGACATAATTATCATTTTATTTCTAAAAATAAGCAAAAGGGGACGTCTGTGCACAATTTAGAACTCATAGGGGTTATACAAATAAATTTTGAAAATATAGGAGGTTTTGGTGCATCTTATGTAAATCACGGGGGGCACCCATGCTATTTTTGTAAGACTAGTCCCTTTCCATTTTTTATTTTTCATCCCGTTTTTTTCTCTTCTTTTTCTTTTCATATTCTTTGAAATCAAACATAATTTCTTTTTCACAAATAAAATGAATGTGTTTTATTATAGCTTGATAATTTAATTGTGTTTTATCAAACTCAATTTTATTATAGCTTGATAATTTTTTTAATATTTTGTGATCAAAGTGTGACACAGTCTTACAAAAAAATCAAACTCTGATAAAAAATTGGAACAAAGGAAAATTGAGTTCATTTTAAAATATAATTTTGATTTATCAAATTTTTATTAAATTAAATTATTTAAAACAATATTTAATTTAAAGTTAAAGCATTGCACAGTTTAACAAAATATCAAACTGTAATAATCTATTTGAGACGTAAAGAGTAAAAGATGTAAAAGCAAAGTTCCTGTCGTTTTAATGAAAAAATTTAAAAAACTAACTTTTTTCTTCTTAATTCTGTGGATCAAATATAATGATAGCACTAAAAAAGGTCAAATGCCCAAAATAGGAGTGTGTTATCTTTTTTCGTGCGTAGGACTTAAATTTAACTTCATGCCTAATTTATCCTCTCTTGCCAATCTTGCAATCAAAACCACTTTTGGAAAAAATGGTCAATTGGTCACCCGGAAACCCCTCTCTCTACTCTCACATTTTTCCTCTCAACCATTACATCGTTTATCTGCAGATCGAAGACGTGCGCAACTGCATGATTTCTGCATGCGCCCTCCGAGAAGAAATTGTTCCACGCAGTGGATGAGCTCTCCGGCAATCTCTCTTTCGATGGGTTTCTCCGTCAAAATATCATCTACGGCGGCGTTCGTGGCTGAGCACACGCATACATCCTTGCCGTATCAGAAGGCTCCAATTAGAGTAGTTCGTTGTGCGTGTTACTTTTGAAGTTCTCGATTTGACTAGAGTTCATGGTTAGATCAGAATTATGGTCTCGGTTTCATTGTTTTTTTTGTAGATCTGAGTTCATTTATGGGAAGAAAAATTGTAGCGTGTGTTGATTCAAAGAAATTTAGTGTGGGCGACGATGGCAATGCCTTCAGATCTTGCTTCAGAGTGATGAATCTACCACCGTGGAAGTAAACGACAAGGGGGAGCAGGGGGTTAGCAGTGATGAATTGAATCTCGGTTGTGCCGCTGTGGCGGATGGTAGTAGTGTTGCGACGCAAGAGGCGGCGTATGGCGATGGTGGTGTGATGGCAGTGCAGTGGCAGAGGGATGGAGTTTATTAGTGTGGTGGTGGATGGTACGTGACAGTGTGTGGCGATGGGGTGTGATGGTTGGCGCCGATTCAATTACCTCCGACGAGGAGGGAGGCGTCGCTGGCAAAGAGTAAAGGTCTCCGAAGTGGATGATGGTGGTGGTGTCACTGGGCTGATGTACCTGTTTCAAGTACAGAGATTTGCCGCTCATCTTTTTTTCATTTCCTTTTGTACAGAGGGTGATGGTGTTTTGGTAGTAGTGTGGATGGCAATGATGGCAGTGTGGTAGTGGTGGTGATGATGATGGCAGTGGTGGCGATGGTAGTGTGGCGAGGGAGACAGTGTGGCTAAGAAGAAGACAATGTGGTAGCAGAAGATGTCAGTGTGGCAGCAATAATGATGTTGATAATGACAGTGTGACAGCTGTGGGATGGTGATGATGGAAGTGTAGCAAGGTTGGTGGTGATAGTGCGAGTGTGGCGGAGAAGGTGGCAGTGTGGCTCAGGTGGTGGGAATGAGGCGGCGGTGTGAGTGTCAATGATGACAATGTGGTCGTGAATGGATACAATGTGACGGTGGTGCAAAGTGGTGGCGAATGGTGACAGTGTGGAGGCACTGGTGGAGGGGGAGAGGCAATGTGGCGGCGGAGGGAGGCAGTGGTGGTGGCATGGGGAGGCAGTGTGGCAGCAGAAGAATGAAGTGCGGTAACCAAAATATAATCAGTATATTCTTAAGAAATCAGAAAAAGGGTATAATGAGAATATTAAATAGATGTCACACTAGATACTGCTATTTATGTACAAAAACACAAAGGAGTGCTAGATAGATAACTTTGCTTACTTTATAGTGCTACGTAAGAACATCTCCCTAAAAGAAAAAAAATAAAATCATCCATTATGCGCATTAGAATTCGCGAGATAATCATTTTAAAGAAAGTAAATCGAACTTAAATCACACATGAATAACAAAGAATGAAACTCGCACATGATATTTACAACAGTCATATGCTTAGCATAGGGCTGGACACGACTCCAGTTCGGAACTAGTATTAGAAGTGCTAGGGTACCAGAATTGTAGGGAAATTTTTGTGTTCCTGTTCTTAATCTTTGGTAACCGAAACTGTAACAAAACCGAAACCAATTAAATTTTTTTATGTCTCTATATTTTTTATGCTTATTCTTAATATGCTTGAGGTTGGTTCACAACATTTACTATAAAAAAGAGTCAATTATATAATATTTTATTTTTCAAAATTTTATTTGAAAAAATTATTTAGAACTGGGTCGAAATTGGAACAGAACCGGAACCGCCCTACCTGATCAGGTTCAGGTTTTACCGGTACAGCCCATTCCGAAACCAGATTGGACCGATCCCATATTTAGTCCTAGCTCGAACTCGAATATTATTAAAAAGAAAAAAGGTTAGGAATACCCCCAAATGTACATGCTCAACCACTCAAGGCGCACCCAGTTTTGGGGTCTCTATCATGCGCATAGAGTCGCAGCTGCTTACTGCAGTCTGCAGTACAGTCATCTACGCCTTCTGTAACAGATCAGACCCCCCCACGGTCGTCGTCGTCTATCTCTTTTTCTCCTGCATTTCCACTGTTCTATCTCCGATCCAAANCCTTGTTAAAAAGAAAAATATTAGGAATACCCAAATGTACATGTTCAACCACTCAAGGCGCACCCAGTTTTTGGGTCTCTATCATGCGCATAGAGTCGCAGCTGCTTACTGCACTCTGCAGTAGAGTCATTTACGCCTTCTGTCGTCGTCTATCTCCCTGCATTTTCACTGTTCTCTCTCGGATCCAAACCCCCCCCACCAGTTGCTTGATTAAGTATGATCACAAGATCAAGTTGTGGGTAGTACCATATCCATCCTCTGTCCTGACACTAGATCTCGTTTTTCTTCTTTTCAAAGATTGGACACTAACTTCCGTGCAGATACATGGTTTGGGGTGTAATCCGGCGGCGCGTGCTTGTCCTGGCGGTGTTTCTGACTTGCGCCGCCTTGCCGCGTCCGGCGGCGCCGCATCCGAACGACGAGCAGTGCTTGACCCATCTGAGTAGGACGTTGCAGGATCCGATGAAGAATTTGCAGAATTGGACCGGAGAGACGTTCGCCAACCCTTGCCAGGACTTCACGTCGTACCTGCAAGGCGCCACCTGCGACAATGGCCGCATCTACAAGCTCTCGCTCCCCAATCTCGATCTGAAAGGCTCCATTTCGCCCTACCTCTCCAATTGCACGAATCTCCAGGCTTTGGATCTCTCCTCCAACTCCCTCACCGGCTCAATTCCGCCGGAGATCCACTCCCTGGTGAACCTCGCCGTCATCAACCTCTCCTCCAACAGCCTCTCCGGCCCGATCCCGCAGCAGCTCGCCCTCTGCGCGTACCTCAACATCGTCGATCTCCACGACAACGACATCTCCGGCGCCATTCCTCCGGAATTCGGCTTTCTAGCGCGGCTCTCCGCCTTTGACGTCGCGAACAACAGATTATCCGGGGAGATCCCGGCGTCGCTGGCTTACCGGAGCGGGAAATTGCACAGAATCAATGCGAGCTCGTATGAGGGGAACAAGGAGCTCTACGGGTACCCGTTACCGCCCAGGAAGAGAAATGGGCTATCCGTTTTAAGTATCGTGGGTATCGGGTTGGGTAGTGGGCTCTTGAGCTTGTTGGTTAGCTTTACCGCTGTTTGTATGTGGCTGAGAGCTAGCGAAAGTAGAACGGTTTCCGATGATGGAAAAATTGATGATTAATTAATTGAATTGTTTCTCATATTTTGCATAATTGCATCTACTTCTTTTTCTTGTAAATTTAAAATTTTGGTTTTCAACTTTCTTGGTAGTTGAATTTCGATTCCTCATTTGAAGGCTAGTCCTCTTCTACGCTAAAATATTGGTGGACAAGAAAATCAAAGACATTAGTATTGACTTACAACTTGTTACAAGCTATTCTAATCATCTCATTTTATTAATGTCTGATCTGATTCTAATTAAATTTAAAGTTCTCTTGATTTGGTGTGATGCGATTCTAATAAAAATAATTAATTAATTTTTTAAATCATATGCCTGGTGTTTTCATCCTTGCCTTGATTACATTGAGATATGTGTATTCCTTAGTCTCCACTTGTGTGTAGTGCTTGGTAGATCCCATATGACAAATGGCAAGAGGCATCTTCTTGTTGTACTTGCCACGGAGCGCTTATTGTATCTCAGTGAAGATTTACCGGGTGCAAATCAGGTCTCGAGGACTAGAAGAACCTCACGCAGGAGACCACCTCTCAAGAGTAAGAGGTAGTGGAGGTTGGTCATGCGCCTTGGTCATCCTGGAACCCTCGATCGACCTCATGGGGCCGATTGTCCGAAAGTTTGTCTCCTAGGGTCTCCTCCTGTCCCTTTAGTCCTTGCCCTATCCATTTGGCTTGACCATGAGTTTGTTGACTGCGGCCCAAGCCTCAATCATAAGCGCCACACACTCCCCTAGTGGCAACATACTCGGGCAAATGGAAGTAACTGTTGAAAAAGACCTTACCCTTCACAACCCCGCTTTTGAGGACTTGATGGCTGAAGCAGGAAGGTCCAAGCACTAAACACATGTGCAAAAGTGATATTTCAACCGTCAAATGGGGGTCGTGTTTCTTAGGAATTATAGCCATCATTTTGCTTCTATGAAGTTGGGGCGTCAAGCAGGTAGCACTTTAGGTATGCTACATCTTCGTTAGGATTATCCCTTTTAGATTCATGTGTTGCTTGCCACAACTCAACCCCTATAAATACTAGAGTTCACTTCATTTTATCCCAATTTCAAGTCCGAGATCACTAATAGGTTTTATTTTTGCCGTGCTCGTTGCTAGCTCTCTATCACAAACCACCACAACCCAGCCACTCTTTGCGGTTTATGTTTTCGATAACACCT